GCGTCAGTTTTTGCCCGGTGCTTGGTCTGCAGGCTCCGTTTTCACACGTGTTTGAGCTAACTGAGGGGCAATGCATCTTAAATGGCATTAATCTCTATTGTCTGAGGGATATAAGAGGAGCAATGTGCATTAATTCAGATTCATGTTCTGCCACTTGCAGTAAAACCACGTTGGAAAAAATGTAAAGACTGCAAAGTGCAAAGACTACCCCATCGTGCTCCAGACGGCACACACCAGAACTCTTGCCACGGCGCCATCTTTACAGCATTAATCTCATTACTCGCAGGTCACTATTGTTAAATGAATGTATTTAAATTCGTCTATCTGCAGGAGGAAGGAGGGGCCATGCATTTAATTAGCTAGGTCACTAGTATTAAATTTGGTAACTAAACTGCAGTTGTTGCATTTTGAAAGTGCAGCAGAAAGAAAAAGGGCCAATGTGAATCTGCAATGGGTTTGAAGTGGAGTTGGAGCTAATGAACGCGTGGAAAAGTGATCGTTCATGCGTATCTGCCATAACCAAAGCAGAAGATGGCTCCGGGGGACATCTGTTATTCGCATGGGAATGTTTCGGATTCGGGTTGATTATTTCCTAAGGCTGTTCAACAACCATGGGCATGGGTTAACCCTAACCCTTCCTACTGATGCCTGTTCCCGCTGCTGCCTGTTCCCACTGCCGCTCCTGCTGCTGCCTGTTCCTGCTGCTGCCGCTCCTGCTGCTGCCTGATCCTGCTGCCGCTCCTGCTGCTGTCTGTCCCTGCTGCCTGCTCCTGCTGCTCCTACTACTGCATGTGCCGCTGCTGCTGTTCCTGCCGCTGCCGCTCCGCAGGCTCCTAGGCTGCACCTGTCTCTACGGCTCGGCTCTTTCAGACACGTATGTAACCTGGCTCACGGAGACGAGCGGCGCACGCATGAATGCTGCTGCTCCTGCTAATGCTGCTTCTGCTGCTACTGCTGCCGCTGCTGCTTCATACTGCATCTGCTGCCGTGCTGCTGCTGCTTCATGTACTTTGACATCTCTCTTCACTTCGCATCTCTTTTACTGAAACACTAAACAGCTACAACAATATTCTACTGCTCTGGCTTTGATACAGGATTATTGCTGTTATTATCTACGGATGCTGCAGCTGCTGCTGCTGCTACTGCTGCTACTGCTGCTGCTGCTTCATACTGCTACTGCTGCTGCTGCTGCATACTGCTACTGCTGCTGCTGCTGCATACTGCGGCTACTACTGCTGCTGCTTCATACGGCTACTGCTGCTACTGCTGCTGCTTCATACTGCTACTGCTGCTACTACTGCTGCTGCTGCCTCATTTACTTTGCCATCTCTCTTCACTTGCATCTCTATTACTGAAACACTGAACAGCTACAACAACATTCTACTGCTGTGGCTTTGATACAGGATTATTACTGTATTTTCTAAGGTCGCTGCTGCTGCTGCTGCTGCTACTGCTGCTGCCGCGGCTTGATACAGGACTATTGCTGTTATTATCTGTGGTTACTGCTGCTGCCGCTGCTGCTACTGCTACTGCTGCAACCCACTCTCTCAGAAGCTTATCCTGCTTCTAATGGATGCAGCCTGGCTGAGTGTGCCGCGCTGCGCTGGACTCGCACCTATGCTCCCAGGGTCGCTTCGGCGGTCATGCTTCATCTCTCTACTTAATCTTCTGATACAGCTGGCCGAGTAGCTGCGCTGAGCCGTCAATCGGACTCCTAATCAAAGGCATCCATACCTGTATCTTTCACTCTTCTGATCGCAGGCTCTCCATCATGCTGCCCATCCTGCAGCGGCTCTGAGCGGCACTGAACTCCGGCTCATCTTCCAAGTACATGTCTGCCCTCCTCGCAGCATCTTCCTGCTCTCCTTCTATGGCTTCTCTGCATGAGCGTTTCGCCATTGCTCACTCAACCTTCATGCGGTCCGAGACACGGCTTTCCTGACCATCCTACTATCCTGATTATCTACTCTCCAACCCAAGATTCTAAGCGTAAGGGCGCCTGCAACATCAATGGCCCTCTCCGATTGTCTCTGCCCCTACAGGTCTCCGCTTCTACACGGACGCTGCCCCTTCCGTGGGTTTTGGGGGATTCTTCCAGGACCATTGGTTTGCCGAGCGTGGCCGCTACTTTCCACCGGAGCATCTCCTCTGCCCTACACGTGATACTCCCAGTGGTCGTGGCCTGCGCGCTGTGGAATCACACGTGGCAGAGAAAGAGGATCTCTGTCATGTGTGATAATCTCGACGTAGTGGAAGCATTACACAAAGGTCGCTCTTTTTCACCCAACATAATGTCCCCTGACCATTTCAACCTCCGTCTCAAACATTCAAAAAAATCAAAGGAGCCTGCAATTTAGTAATAGCTCGCTCGGACACATCTCTCTGCCCCTACAAATCCTTGATGCGTTACACTCGCCTCCGCTGCAAAAAAGGAGATCTTAACGGACCTCTATTTCTCACTCCAGACATTCTTCCCATGACAGCAACCTGGTTCAGAGCTCAGCTAAGATCCCTAGTGCTCCTCTGTAAATTGTCTCCCCAGCTCTACACAGCTCACTCCTTCAGGATAGGCGCCGCCACGCGCGCGGCCTCGCTGGGGCTCCCCCACACCTCTCTGCAACAGCTGGGGCGCTGGTCCTCTTTGGCCTTCTCCGCCTACATCAGGCCAGACGCGTCCGCCATCCTGGCTGCACAACGGCTACTGGCTTCCTCGTAAGCTACCAGCAAAGCAATACAAAGCAAAGTAAGTGAACCAATAAGATTCTGGTGGCGGCACGCACTTCTTCAAAGATAACCCTGCTTCAGCGTCTGGTATCGATCGTGATGCGAGCGCTCACGTCCCAGGCAGCGTCCGGTTGATCGTGATGCGAGCGCACACGTCCCGGCGCTTAAAGACAACTCTGCTGCAACGTCTGGTATCGATCGTGATGCAAGCGCTCACGTCCCAGGCAGCGTTGATCGTGATGCGAGCGCTCACGTCCCGGCGCTCAGAGATAACTCTGCTTCAGCGTCTGGTATCGATTGTGATGCAAGCGCTCACGTCCCAGGCAGCGTCCGGTTGATTGTGATGCGTGCGCTCACATCCCGGCGCTTAAAGTCAACTCTGTTTCAGCGTCTGGTATCGATCGTGATGCGAGCGCTCACGTCCCAGGCAGCGTCCGGTTGATCGTGATGCGCGCTCACGTCCCGGCGCTCAGAGATAACTCTGCTTCAGCGTCTGGTATCGATCGTGATGCAAGCGCTCACGTCCCAGGCAGCGTCCGGTTGATTGTGAATCGTGCGCTCACATCCCGGCGCTTAAAGTCAACTCTTTGCAGCGTCTGGTATCGATCGTGATGCGAGCGCTCACGTCCCAGCGCTCAAAGAACTAGCTGCAGCGTCTGGTATCGATCGTGATGCGAGCGCTCACGTCCCAGGCAGCGTCCGGTTGATCGTGAAGCGAGCGCTCACGTCCCGGCACGCAAAGATAACTCTGCCCGTTTTTGGGGATTATGCGCGCGAGCAAGCGCCGCACTCATCAGCATCTCTCCCGGGCCTAGGGCGCCAAACATACTCAATCAACAAACTTCTAACTGCATTTTCCCTCTTGGGTCTCTCCAAAGTGAAATGAAGCTCTTCGCGAAAGTTCACTGTGGTAGACCCGGCCACTGCTGCCAGATCTACAAGCCTGCTCATCCTCTACTCATTACACCAGCAAAACGCCCACATCTAATCCACCAATAACCACCAGGACAGCAAGTTAAAAGCCGGAGACGCCCACTTCCCGGCCTTCTGAAGTTTGCAAAGCCTCCGCCGCCCCACCTCCTCCTTCTCTCATCGAAGCGTGCTTGCCTACTGCCTCTGCCGTCACCAGTGCCTAGGCCCCGGGGGGGATTATGCGCGCGAGCAAGCGCCGCACTCATCAGCATTTCTCCCGGGCCTAGGGTGCCAAACATACTCAATCAACAAACGTCTAACTGCATTTTCCCTCTTGGGTCTCTCCAAAGTGAAATAGTGTACTTGCTGATAATGTGTTTGATTTTTGTGATTAGACCATCACAAGCATGGTCTGCATTAATCCAATTGACGTCAGTCCATGAGACATTTTTTAGGTCATTGTCGAGCAGGGGTTGGTCTTTTTTGGGGATATGGGGCGAGAATTGTTGAGTACCATGTTGATTGTTATGTCTATATTTTGACAGCTTCCGGGATATCAGTGTGATGTTATGGTCTGATAAACCTGTGAGTAAATTGTAACTTTTTTTAATGCGATCAGGTTTATTAGTGAAGACCAAATCCAGTAGGGTTTGCCAGGACGGCGTTATTCTTGTAGGATTGCTTATCACTTGTGTCAAGTGTAGTCCATTTGTAATGTCCTTAAGTTTCTTTCTGCGTGGCTTATTTAACCAGTCCAGATTAAAGTCCCCCATAACAATCAATTCTTTGGCATTGTCTTGTTGTTTCAGAATGTCTGAGAATGAACTGAAAAAGGTGTCCTTGGCTGTGGGTGGTCTGTACACCACAATCACCTTAAATGACATTTCTGGGGACAGTGTGATTTTGATTCCCACACACTCAATATTATCAACTGGGATGTTTATTTGTTCACTTTTAATGTTTTCTCTTACATATATCATGACACCTCCCCCTCTTCCACTTGACCTGTCCTTTCTGTAGATCTTGTACCCCGGGACATGAATCAGGGCAAAGGGTGTTGTTGGTGTTAACCAAGTCTCAGATAGGCCGAGGTAGTCCAAGTTAGAGTCTGATAATAGCTGCTGAATTTGTTCCGTTTTTTGCACTACACTTCTAATATTAAGGTGCCCTCCAAAAATTCCCTTTGGCTTTGAGTTTTGGTCCCATAATATTTTTGCATGATTTACAGTTTGAAACATCTTTGTACTTTGCTGTTTAGTGGCAGCTGTGTTTGTGAGTTTATGCTGAGGTCCAGCATCACTTGGTTCAATCGTTCTCATTCCTGTGCTGGTATCGACCGAACGCCTGCGTTCCAGCCTAGGTAGATGAGCGCCGACGTCATCGATTTGTTGTTTTGCTTGTGCTACACGCGTGACGCTGGCTGCTTGACCGCGACCTCCACCACGGACACGGCACAACCCCTGCGAGGCGCGCGGTCCGTGAGCTGCAGTGATGGTTCCCACGGTCTCCGTCTCCAAACCCCGGCATCTCCGTCGTGGCGCCGGGCGCAGAGCAGGCACGCTCGCAGCAGCCCGGATGGCCACCCCGCTCCATGCTCCACGCTGTCTCGTCCCGCCGGCTGTCAGGCTCGGGCCGTGCATCAGAACCGGGTCGGCACTCGCAGGGAGGACGGAATTGCACGAGTAAGTGTGTTGCTCGGGTGTGGAGTACAATGTGCGTAGTGTGCATACCTGAAGGTTAGCGGTGGTGCTCCTGTTGTTAGCTGTGGTCTTGTTGTTTATATTGCGTCCCTCTGTCATCGGTATGTTGTTTGGACCGGGACACTGGTGGATGTCTCCAGAGAGCAATAGGGTGATGGCCACAATAAACATCAGACTTTGCTGCTGTTTAAGTCCTGTCTTTGATAGTTTTGTGGCTTTGCTGTAGAGATATGGGTGGATGAATGTGGATAGCAGGGCGTGCTTCCCGAAGCCGAAGCGTTTGTCAGCTTCCATCTTGTGAGCATTTGTGAATTTACCGATGCCATTGCAATAACAACAGCCTTCTTTAGACTGACCAGTTTGACTGTTGTCTATATTTTTCATATTGCTTGTTAGTATTGCATATACAAACAGAGCACTGACAACACCTGCCGTGCCTGGCGGCGCCATCTTTCTCTTTCTTTCAAATACAAGAAATGCAATGATGGAAAACACATAGAGCCATTGGTCCTCAGCGTGTTGTCTTGATCTTACAGGCACACAGGCGTTTCTGATCCACAACCTGCAGCGTAGCCTCTGCCTGGAGGAGGTGTCCGGCAGCGGGGAGGTGGTGGGCAGGGAGTGCAGCCTGGACTCGGACTCTCAGCAGTGGCTCTGGGAGGACCGCACTCGGCTGGTGAACGTGCAGACCTCCAGATGTCTGTCGGCCCGTCACCTCCAGCCTGTGCGCACCGAGGCCTGTCCTGAGGCGGGGGAGCAGGGGCTGAAGGGGGTCCTGGAGTGGGACTGTGACCGGGAGAGACTGATCAGCAGGAACAACTCTCTGCTGCTGTCTCTGAGCGGACGGAAGGTGCTGCTCACTGACGACAACAAGAACGTCCGGTGGAAGTCGCTGGACCAGGGGGATGTAACGGCAAGTTGCACTCTATCACAGGTCACACAACACGTAAGATACATGTGACGTAAGGATCAAACAGAACGTGATACAATGTTGAATGATGCAGTAATGTCTCACAGCATATTCTATCACAGAATATTACATCCCCCTTCTTTTAAAAGAAAACAAAATATATAGTATCTAAAAATTCAAACAGTAGCTAAATAGTACATATAATTTGTAGGGTATTAAAAAAATGAAGATATTGCACAATGTTATTTAGTTTAATTATTTTCTTTTGAATGAATTAGGAACCTGTGCTAAAACTAAGAAAAATACCACAGAACAATATGGCATATTTAAACAAATAATCACAACATATGCATATACTGAACACTATTCATTAATAAACTAAATTACAGGTCTAAGATAGCCCTCGGCTTAACTTCGCGACCAGAACGGGTATGGTAAGTAGCGGTAGTAGTCATAGGTGGTGGTTGTGAACTATGCTCAGTCTTATCAGGTGGATGTTCCAGCTGAGAATGGTCACCATGGTGAGCTATGGGTGGTTCTTTAGAGTCCATTAGGTGACGACGGTTTCTCCTGTATTGCAGTCCATCTGGTGTTTGAATGTGGTAAGATCTGGCAGTGTCGGCTGCACGAATGACAGATGCTGGTTTCCAATGTCCACTTTCCTGAAAGCGAACACTTTGTCCATTGCGTAGAGCTGAGAGTGGTTTTGAAGATCTGTCATAATATTTCTTTTGATGTTTTTGACGAAGATCTCTTTTTGTAAGAGTCTCCCTGTGGCTAATGGCTTTAGGTTTGAGCTGCTGGTGAGTGCATGGAATGATGGAGCGAAGGCGTCTACTCATGAGCAGCTGTGCAGGTGATTTAAAGTTGTCCACCGGTGTGTTGCGATATTCAAGGATGCTCAGGTATGGGTCCTTGTTATCTGATTTGGCTTTTTCCATGAGCGACTTGACTGTTTGTACAGCCTTTTCTGCAAGGCCGTTGCTCTGTGGGTAGTACGGACTTGATGTTATATGCTTGAACTCCCATAAGTTTGAAAACGTTTCAAACTCCTTGCTCTTGTATTGGGGGCCATTGTCAGATATCACAGTTTCGGGGATACCATGCCGAGCAAATGTGGCTTTGAGTTTATGTATGACTGCAGAGGCGGTTGTGCTGTGGAGCTTGTCAATCTCAAAGTACCTGCTGTAATAGTCAACTGTAACAATGTAGTTAGCATTGTTCCAAATGAAAAGGTCAGTAGCCACTGTTTGCCATGGCTTGTCTGGTATTGTATGGTTGATCATGGGCTCTTTCGTGTTTGATGGCCTGTGCTCCAAACACACTGGGCACTGTGCAACCATGTCTTCTATTTGTTTGTTCATTCCGGGCCAGAACAGGACGTCACGGGCTCTTTGTTTGCACTTTTCCATGCCCAGGTGGCTTGTGTGGATTCGGGACAACATTTCTGGACGTAATGACTGTGGAACTATTATCTTTTCTCCCTTGAAAAGGATATTATTGATTTGAGACAGTTCATCCCGATAGTTCCAATACTCTGCAATCAACTGAGGACACTGTTTCTTTTCCTCAGGCCATCCGTCCTCGATTGTCTTCTTTAGCAGTGTAAACTGAGTGTCCTTGTCGGTCTCTGTCTGTATTTCCTTTAGTTTTGTGTCGCTTACTGGTAAGCTACTGTATACTGTATGCACCTGTAAGTCCATACCTTCTCTGAGGCTGTTATCTGGATCATGAAGTGACTTCCGGGAGAGAGTATCAGCGAGAGGAATGTCTTTGCCTGGTTTGTGAATGATTGTGAAGTCGTATCTTTGTAGCTGGAGAATCATTCTTTGTAATCTTGGAGGTGCTGCAGTGAGTGGTTTGCGTAAAATTGATTCCAATGGTTTGTGGTCACTTTCCACAATGACGTGGCGACCATACACATATTGGTGAAAACGCTTGCATCCGAATAAGATGGCATAAAGCTCTTTTTCAATTTGTGCATAATTGATTTCTCAATCTGTGAGTGATCTGGATGCATACCCGATTGGTTTACCCTCTTGAAGCAGAGTGGCACCAAGTCCATATTTAGATGCATCAACTTGCAGCCTAAGCTCTTTCTGGGGGTCATAGTAAACTAGGACAGGGCCTGGCTCTCGGGTTATGAGTTCTTTCATTTGGCGAAATGCTTTGTCGTGTTGTGCATCCCAGACAAACACGCTCGACTCCTTTAACAGCTGGCGCAGTGGGGCGTTGATGTATGCGAGCGTGGGGGCAAACTTTGACAGATAGTTAACATGCCAAGAATGGTCTCAAGCTCACCTTTGTCCTTGGGTGGCTCCATATCCCTGACAGCCACGATCTTTGCGGGGTCAGGTTTGACTCCATCTTTTGTTATTAAATGTCCAAAGTAGCTTACTTGGGTTGCGCAGACGGTGCTCTTGTCAGGGTTGAGCTTGACTCTGCACCACTGGTGATGATCTGCAGCATAGTGGCTGCAGGGCTTAAAAAACATTTAAAAAGTGCTAAAACACTATGGATTCGGTTAGACCTTAAAAAGAACAATCAAATGCAATGTAGATTTAGAAGTGCTCTTGTCAGGGTTGAGCTTTACTCCCCTTTCCCTGGAGCGCTGCAGCATTGCGCGTAGATTTTTATCATGTTCTTCTCTGCTTTGGCCGTAGATGAGAACGTCGTCTTGTAGCAACGGCCACATAATGTTGGGTCTGAATGTGTGTGTGGGGTATACAAACGTATGTGGATGGTTTATATGTATTAGATGCGGGGTTTACAAGCAAGGGAGCGCGCATGGCCAGTGATTGAGATATAGGCAGGCAGGTGTGTGCGCGCGGCCCGTGGCGTCCCTGCTCCAGGCGCAGACAGGGGAAGAGGCGACTGTCTGCTGTGGGAATTTACGTGTTTCCAAGGACTGTTCCAGGGATTTGGAAGGGTTTTCCTCCTCCAAACACGTGGACCAGCAAGAACTGTCGTCTATACCGGTGAGATCTACCCATTATTGTTTTTTACGCGTGCGTGTTTTAATCTGTGCCGGCACAAAGACGCGCGTACCTCTCCAGATAAACTTCCTTTTTTTTGCTTTACGTACGGGACAAGTGGCTTTCGGTTGCGGAAGATCCCAGGATTCCTTTGCATTTTGGATTAACTACAGACTTTTCAGCCGGGTCGGGAGCGTGCCCGTGCCGTTTGTTCGGGACATTAAAGGGGAGCTATAGTGGATTTTTTTATTTTTGTTTTTCGTATCACTGTGATATCCTAATATAATTTGGAGCAAAAGAGGAACTGTCTAGCTATTTGATTCTTGCATTACACTACAGATAACTGAACAGCACGTTCAATCATGAACTCAGTTATTATTATATGATTGGTAATATCTTACATACTGCGTGAGTGTTACAGTCTACTATGGCTGTAACGCCCTAGTAGTAGACCTTCAAAAGTCTCATCCATTTTGCGCTGGAATTCGTCTTGTGATGATCTGAGTCCAAATGGCAGACGCAGATATCTGTATCGGCCAAACACAGTGTTAAAAGTTGTTAGCTTTGAGGATTCTTCTGTAAGCTTTATCGCCCAATACCCAGATCTAGCATCCATTACGCTGAAGTAACATGCTCCTGATAGCTTTGCTACAATATCCTCAAGTGTTGGCAATGGGTAATGCGGGCGTTTTATCGCTTTGTTGAGATCCTTTGGATCTAAGCAAACCCTAAGTTTACCTGTGCGTGGTTTTTCTGTTGCAACCATTGAGTTAACCCATTCAGTCGGTTCTGTGACTTTGGTGACGATTTCTTGTTTCTCCATGTTTGACAGTTCATCTCTCAGGCGTTCACGCAGAGCAATGGGGACACGCCTTGGTGGATGTATCACAGGGACAGCATTGGGGTCAATATGGATGGTGCACTCACCAGGAAACAGTCCTATTCCTGTGAAAACATCTGAAAACTCATCCATAATGGACATGCCTGTTGTATCTGAAATAGATAGGATCAGTTTAATAAGCTTGAAATCAAGGCATGCTTGAAGCCCTAGCACTGGTGGTGCTAATGTGTCGACAACATGGATTCGCAGAGGTAGCTTTGTGTCCTTGTACTGGCATTCAACTTTACACTTGCCTTTCACAGCTAACCGCTCACCTCCATAGCCATAGAGTGGGCGAGACGACTGTTGTAGAGTGTGCTGCATTCCTAGTTTTTTGACAATACTTGAAGGAATAACGTTGACTGAGGCACCAGTGTCTAATTTGAATTTGACCATACTTTTGTTTGGACCCACGAGGATTTCTGCAAAAACCTGTTCTTTGTCATATTTCTGTGTCACTGCATCAATAAACAATTCATCCGAATCAGTCTCTGGGTCATTATCATCAACTGTGGGCACTGCTTTTCTTTGTTTGGAACGACAAACTTTTGAAAAATGGTTCCATTTGTTACACGACTTGCACTGTTTCCCTTTTGCTGGACAGACTCTTTTTCTGAGTGTGATTTATTTCCACAGTAGTTACATGAGTTGTAGAACTTTTTGTTTCTTTTTGTTGTGGTGAATCTCGCCGCGCTGCCAGCGTCACTGTGTTGCCGTGGTTTCCATGACGCTACATTGTTGTGAGACGGTCTGCTAACGGCATGTACTGACTGTTCTTGACGGCCTGATATGGTTTTTAACTGTTCCTGCGCAACTTCATGGGAACGAGCAATGTCTATCGCCTTGTCCAGTGTTAAATCAGACCCCATGCTAAGCAGTTTTTCTCGTACTCTTGGTGAGAGGATCCCGAATATGACGCGGTCTCTAACCATTTCCTCACAGTTCGCGTATTGACAGTCCTTTACAAGCAGCCGTAAATCCCTTACAAACTGTTCAAATGGCTCGTGCGCTCCTTGTACTTTCTCGTTAAACTTGAAATGTGAAAAAATAACGTTTGTTTTGGGCAAAACATATGCTTCAAAGCGGTCATAGTATCCTTTCAATGTCTTTCTTTCGT